GGGCAGTTACAGGCGACCAGGCAGGCAGGTGAGCCATTAGGAGCCAGCGTCAGGATTGTGAGAGGGATGTCCGACTACCGGCAGTCGGACATCCCCCAAGGGGTCCCGGATTGGAGAGGGTGCAGGCTGGGCTGAGAGGGACCCCCGCCTTGCATGAATTCGTGCACCAGGCCTCTAGTTTTAAATATAATAATGGTTCATCATACTCTTTCTCCACAAAAACAATACAAGCTTTACATTTAAGGAGGCTATCACTCTACACCAGTGGTTCTCAACATTCTGGCCCTTTAAATACAGTTCCTCATGTTGTGACCCAACCATGAAATTATTTTCGTTGCTACTTCATAACTGTAATGTTGCTATTGTTATGAATCATACTGTAAATATCTGATATGTAGGATGGCCTTAGGCGACCCCTGTGAAAGGATCGTTCGCCCGCCAAAGGGGTCGTGACCCACAGGTTGAGAACCACTGCTCTACACTTTTCCAACTCAACCACCAACTTTGTTAGGGTGCCAGATCTCTCACTCTGGAAATAAAAGTTAAATCTAAAATATAAATCTCAGAGGGAAGGAGGGGGATGGGAAGAGATTAACCAAAGAAGTTCTATGCACATACGCATAACCCATGGACACAGTCAATAGTGTGGTGAAGGCCTAGGGGAAGAAGGGAAGAAGGGAAGGGGGCATCAATGAGGGGAAAAGGGGACATCTGTAATACTTTCAAGAATAAAGATAAATTAAAAAATAAAATACAGCCGAAACCGGTTTGGCTCAGTGGATAGAGCGTCGGCCTGCAGACTGAAAGGTCCCAGGTTCGATTCCGGTCAAGGGCATGTACCTGGGTTGCGGGCACATCCCCAGTGGGGGATGTGCAGGAGGCGGCTGATCGATGTTTCTCTCTCATCAATGTTTCTGACTCTCTATCTCTCTCCCTTCCTCTCTGTAAAAAATCAATAAAATATATTTTAAAAAAAATAATAATAAAATAAAATACAAAAGATGTTGCTAAAATAAAAACTAAGACAGACTGTAATCTGAGACCAAAGTCACTTCTTGAGAAACTGAGGAACTACTCAACCATCATCTTCAAATCATAAATCAAGACCAATTCATTAATGGTGCATTAAGGAAGACGCTCATGGGTGGCTCTGTTCCCCAGGGCTAGCCCTCAAAGCAAACTAGCAACATTAATAGCTTTGATTTTTGCAATCTAATTTGATTAGATGCAATTTTATACAGTTATTTGCTGCAAATTCCAGAAAAAAAGAGGGAAAGTAGATAAAATTGAATTTATGTGACTTGATAGAGATGGCAAAGATGACTAAAAACAAACAGTTCACTGTAGGCCTAATTAAGTAAAAGGAAATTTTCACAAGCTGAATAAATGAGTATCTCCAACTTGCTCAATGAGTCTTACTTTTCAAAAAAGTCTGGACCCAGGTGTGTTTTGTTCAACATTCAGAAAGCTAACTGTAGTTCTCATTAACTTCATTCTGATCCATAGTGCCAAAGGCAGCCCAGGTGCACTCCGTGCCTGACAGTCCCTCGTGAGGACAGTTGCTGCTTCCTCTTCTCATGTTACTAAACATGCCTGCCACCCTACCACAGGGCAATCACTAATCTCTATGGAACACAAGACTGTGTATGTTTTCAAGAAACAAAAGGGGGAGAACAGGACAAAGGGCTGCACTCAGAGCCCAGAGAAGAGGACAGTCACCCTCAACTCCCCTTTACCCCAACAAAGCCCGAGTTCTTGCCAACTCACTGCGAGTTTATGGTAAATTGTGTCTGTCAAATGATTCTGAAATGATAACATTCTCTTAAACTGAGAATGACTATTCTCCCCCAAATAATCTGGAAGTATTGAGGTTTCAAAAACGGGTTCTTTAAAAGAGCTGACCCAATAAAGTGGTTAAACTAAAGATCACTCATCTGAGAAATTCATCATAAACCTTTACTTTCTCTTTGTTTTATTTTCCTGTTTTTTAACATATTTTTATTTATTTCAGAGAGGAAGGGAGAGGGGAGAGAGAGATAGAAACATCAATAATGAGAGGGAATCATTGATTGGCTGCTCCTGCACACCCCCTACTGGGGATCGAGCCCACAACCCGGGCATGTGCCCTTGACCAGAATCAAACCCAGGACCCTTCAGTCCGCAGGCCAATGGTCTATCCACTGAGTCAGACCAGCTAGGGTTTATCTTCCTTTTTTTTATCTCTCACCCACCCCTAATAAATCTTCCCTCAACTTAATTTCCTCAAATTTTAAATCTGTCCTAGGAGGGCCCTAAACATTACAAAACAGAATGAGAGACTTCAGGGCATGGATGCCAGAACAGCCATGAACTGTGTTATAAGTATCAGAAGCCACACACAGTAGGACTAGAACACTGACCCCTGCAGTTCTAAAGCTCTCTCTTCAGCTACTGTCTGTTCTCGATGCTCCTGGACCTTCCTGAAGAGATGGGGATTCCAAGGAGAACCCGAAACCCATTCACAGTCGAGAGGGCTCTGCCAGAGCTCAGGAATTTAGGTAGTAATGCTGACAAGTCCACAGAAACCCAGATTATGAACTTAACCTTTAGAAAAATAATGAAATAACTGCAATAAAATATGTTCTTCTGAGAGAACTGTTTAAATTGAAATAGATTTCCAGTACGGAAGGGATACAAAGTCCATCTCAAGTTGAAATCAAAGAGCAGTCTCTCTCTTTCAAAGCTCTAACTTTGGGTCTATAGGTTCAAACCTGCAATGCAGTCCTCAGCGCCTCCATGACCACTCCTCTGACCCTGAGCAAATCACAATTACCCCTGAGAGTACTCTCTGCTGCGGCTCCGACTCCCCCAACAAAGTCATTCTTCCCATAAGAGCCATTGGGATCTTTTCAAACCAATATCACAAAATAACAAATAATCAAATAAACAGTCATCATGTCCTCCTCTCCTCTGCTCTAAGTCATCAATGCTTCCCACTGCAGTTACTATGGCCAGTCAAGCCTGATACCATTTGGCCCCTTCCAGGGCTCTCACCTTTTACCACTCTCTTCCTTTCCACACACTCTCTTCCTATTCATTCCATACATGAAGCTCAAGTCAACCCCCAGGCCTCTGGACTTCTATTCCTTCTGCCCCACATCATGAAATGTTGGTTTCTTTATAGCCTTTAGGTCTCTGCTCGAATGTTCTTATCTCACCATCTTGAGATGCTATCACCAGAATATAAGCTCCATGAAGGTAGGAACTTGGTCTGCTCTGTCCCCCACCTCCTCCCACATATGGTATAGTGCCTGGTACCTAGTATGCAATCTCCATCCTTGGTGAACAAATAACTGAAAACAAAATAAAATAGGCAAATCTATAAGAGAAAGAAAGTAGATTAGTGCCTAGGACTGGGTGCATAGCAGAGAATAGAGAGTGACTGCTAATTGGAATTATATATGGGTATAACTAATGATGTTCTGTGAATATACAAAATACCATTGAATTATATACTTTAAATGAGTGAATTAAATAGTGTGTCAATTATAACTCAATAAATCTGTTAAAAAAAAAATTTTTAGGAGTAGGATATTCTTTTTTTTAAATATATTTTTATTGATTTTAGAGAGGAAGGGAGAGAGACAGAAACATCAACGATGAGAGGGACTCATTGATCGGCTCCCTCCTGCACACCCCCTACTGGGGATCGAGCCCACAACCCAGGCATATGCCCTTGACCGGAATCAAACCCACTACCCTTCAGACCACAGGTCGACACTCTATCCACTGAGCCAAGCTGGCTAGGGCATGTTAGATTTTTTTTTTATAAAAGAAAGACAGAGCCTAACCGGTTTGGCTCAGTGGATAGAGCATCGGCCTGCGGACTCAAGGGTCCCAGGTTCAATTCCGGGTCAAGG